GAAAATTTGAAAAAAATATTCTACGTCAACAATTAAATTGTACATTGTGATTTATAGTTTCATACAAACATCAAAAAATAATATAGTTTTAATTGTATATTTGAGGTCAATAATATAAATTAATGAATATTAGAGATATTACTTTTTATTTTTAAAAAATCATAATATAAAAAAATTGTTTTTTAAAAAATTTAATTTCTTAATTAATTTCAATGATATGTATCTTATATAGTGTTTTTAAGACAGTAAACAAAAGTTTTTTTAAAACATTTTCCATTTTAATGAATTTTTTGATTTTTACTAAAAAAATAATAGTATTTCTGACAATAAATGTATATTTTTAATATACATAATAAACAACAAATATGATAAATTAATTCATGTATTCTGATTAATCGTAAACGATATCTTAAATACTATTTTAACAGAATGAAAAAAATGTATATTTATTAGTTATGAAATACAATTAATCATGGAACTCAGAATAGTCGTGACCTTTCAACCACTAATTCAATATATACATTTTTTTTACCAAGGCTTATTTTTTAAACATGAGAGTAAGATATTTTTCTAATTGATTGACTAATTTTGAAATTCTAATTAAATGACAGAGACATATATTAGTATTTTTATTAGTTTAATTATCCGTGTAATGAGTAATTATTTGTTGAAATGAATATTTATACTGTTATCAGACAATCTATTCAAATTTTCGTATTTTTAAGATTTATGCTACAACAATCTTTACAATAAACCATTTATATCTTCTATAGTACTAGAATAATGAATAATATTGTAAATAATGTATATAATACATTGAGGTTAACTATTTTAGAATACAAGTCATTTATAAGATTTTAATTTTGGAGTTTAAATATAAATCTTAATTAAAGGTAATTTTTATTTGAGTAAATTTTAATTATTTTGTCTCCATCATTAAAAGTATAAAAACTAAAAAGTGCAACTTATATTTTTATAAGACCTTAGAATAATTAATTTACTATTCTAAGTATTAAATATCTCTACAGAATGTTGCATATATAACTGTCGATACTTAAAATAATGATATAATTTATAAACATTTAATTATATAGTAATAGTTATGTAGCGAGTAGAGTTCGTTATACTCTGTTCGCGTCCCATACCAACTCTGTTTATTAAAATGTTTGTAACTCAATGAGTACTTATTCTAAAATTTTTATACCAATTGACTCATCAAAATTGGTTGTAAAAGAGAAATAAAATATAGCTATTTTTGATTTAAAAAAAAATATATATATATATATATATATGCTTTAAAGATAGTATAAAAAGATAAAACTAAATAAAAATTAAAATTTTTTCTACTCATTTGAAAAAGTTGTTTTCCTTTTCAATATATTTTCTTTTAATATATTTAGATTTTATTATCTTCAATGATTTTATTATTTATAAAATTATCGAGTAATTAACACTTTAATTCAGTATTTGTAAATTAATCAGTTATTGTAAGCTTCTCAAAAAAGTTAAAAACAAAAGTAAATAATTTTTTTTAGTTTTTAAAAAATTATTAATTTTTTAGATATTAACTAAGGTACCAAATATTCTTTTTTTTCTGTAAATAGTTGAAACAAAAATACAATAGAAAAAGCGAGATACTTAGCTGCCACAATCAAAAAACTATATAACTTAATGTTAAATTGGATATTTTGCTGTTTTGTCACCGTACTTCATTGTTTCGAGAGGAAATCTTAAACATATGAATTTATGCATAGGGTGTTTAGTAAGTAATAAAAATAGTTACTAATTTTCATATTGTTCGTAACAATTTACCTGTTTTCTTACTTTTTGAACACTCTATTACTTTTCAACTATTACAAGAACAAGAAAGTTTGTATTGGTACTCTTTATGCACTTTATGTTCATCTGCAGCAAATATGCAACAATTTATATTTGGCAATAAACAAAAAGATGACTCCTATTTTAATATTTGACATGTTAATCATTTAAAAAACTGAAAGAAATTTTCTTTCTTAAAAAGTAATGAAAGTAAACTTGTATGAAACTATTGTTTATAAAGGTTCAAAATACAGTTGAACCACTTATTTGAAAAAATGACAATAATATAATTGTTTTAAATTAGTAAAAAACAATTTAAATTACATTTGATAAATCGTGTTTAAATAATGTAAATATCAAGAAAGAGATATCAAAATGTGTTTTCCAAGTATTTTATAAAAAATAATTAAATTATAAAATCGTTAGACTAGCAATGGATAAATTTTATATTTTGTATTTTTTCTTTACTTTATTTTCAAGGTACTAAATGATTAGTATATAGAATGTATGAAACTAAGATGAGTTTATCAAGTTCATCATAAAATACTTTGGCGCGGTTGAGTTTGAAGAAAGTTCAACTATTTCTTTTTGAAGGATAAGCCTAACATTTAAGTTTAATATATAAGATTTCAGATTAATTATAAAATTAATGTACATTTACACAAAAAATTAGCCTATTTTATACAGCTTGTGAGTAATGAGAATTTGAGAACTTTTTATGTATTGATCGAAATATTAGTTCAGCGGAAGCTGAATACACGTTGTGACAGCCAAGTAAAAAATTATAAACACATCATAATAAACTTAATATATTCTCATCTCATATAAAAGACAAAATGTTAATTAAACTTTAAATATTATAAAACTATAAATCATTGTACTAGAGTACTATACTCGATTCATTTTATAAGAGTATGGTGCATAACAGTATCCTTAATTTTATTGAACTATATAATGATAAAGTTGCCTAAACGTTTTGTTTATTTTATCAACCGCAACTAATTCGTTATACACTCACTTACACGCAAATACACCTGCTCGCCCACCTCACTATATTTACTATACGATACTATTCTGTATGTTTGTATAATAATATTATAATAACAACAATTACGAGCGCCAAGGGTTGCTGTACAATTATGGAAATAATAACAGTAACAGAAGTAGCATCAATTTTAAAAGGCTATATACGATGGAGTTTTCCTCGTTCCCCTAGCTTACTTAAAACCTGACAACGGGCTCTTTCATTGATCAAACAACGGCATACTTCGGGTACTGGGTCAAAAACTCTGCACCCAATTTCCCCCGCAAAACCTTGTTCTAAATATTATTATTTTTATTTGTATACCAAGAAAGCTATAAAAACTATAATTGGTCTCATTATTTATTTCATAGGAATTAATTATAATAGTTATTTTAATTATAAATCTGTTAAAATTAACTATTTTATAGTACGCTTAATATATTCGATGCGTATTTTTAAATACAACTTGAGATGATTCCATATACTTTAAGGGCGTTATGGATTCAAAACCGAGAAGAAAACGAAAGAGCAAGTTTTTTTAAAGAATATTTTTGTTTTATTTTTAACCACAGTAAACTTTTCTACTAATTATTTAGACGATAATTTCTTTGTATAATTTAACTACTTTATAGTAGTGTACATTATAGTGACTATGGAAAAAATGTATTATACATAATAATTTTGTAATATATAAAAATATAATACATAGTTATTAGAAATAATAATTTCTAATAACTATGTATAAAAAACATTATAAATTAATTAAAACAAAATATTTTTAATTTATAGCTCTATGATAATTTTATCATGAAAGAAACTAATAAATGAATTTTGTAATTTATTTTAGAATCAAATACCAATATAACAATATATCAATTTAATTAGTTATATACTAAAATTTGAAAACTTATTTATACTATAGTAAGCGCTATCTAGTACTTAACACTTTTTATTCGTGAGAATATATTTTAAAGCTAGATCATGCTTTTATTACGTTTCCAAACGTTTCGCATTTATTTTTAAATATTTTTACTACTTTTGGATACATGTATAATAACAATTTCGAATTTTTATCATAAAATTATATTTTTTTTAAATTTAAAGATGTTTTTGTGTTACATACACATCATATATAAATCATATACAAAGAAGGAAATTGTGATTAAATTAAATACTAACTAAAAAAATAAAATATTATTTTAAAATAAAAAATGAACTTAAAAATTCAAGCTTTTGAAATATCTTTGAAAAATATTACAGATTTTATATTGCGTGAAACCATGTGGATCTCTGAAAACAAGAATCATGTAATTTGCTCAAATTATCCATTTTTAAACATCAAAAAATGTTTACACATTTATTTTAACTTCGATGCGAAGCTGAGAAGGTATTAATTTTACTATGATGTGTTTTTTTTTTTTTAGATTAGCCTCTTATCGAGCAAATATATTTTTTGTTGTTATATTCACTATTCCATCGTCTTGACAATTTTTTATTTTTACTCAAAATAAAATAATTCAAGTTAACTTCTCTTTATTAATTGCATCCAAAACACCAGTACACATATAAAAATTTTAAACTTATATTTATCTTAAAAATATTACTTTGTTTAGTAAATGATAATTGTTATTTGCTAATTTTAGTATGTAAGTTTAGTATGTACCTTTAGTATGTAAAGGACGGGTGGGTGTCCTTTTACGAAAATATTTGATTTGCATAACAACTTTTTTATTATTTTTTCGAACATTTCTATTCTTAAGACAGGTGTACCTATATCCCCTTCTCATTTCTTCTTTTCGTTCCTTCAAATATAAACAATCTATCACATTCATAGCAGGCAAACTCCTTTTAATATTAAAAGATCAATAATATCTGTTGTTGGGTCCAAGATATGTCTATCATAATTATATAGAATAAACTACATAATTTATTGTGATATGTAAAATGAGATATTTTTTATTTATCAAGTTATGTTCATAAATCTTTAAGATTAAATTGTTTTATTACAAGTTGTAAATTAGATCTTTTTATCGCAAAAACTGTGGAGTTGATTGAGTTATTTAGTATAAAAATAAGTTTTTTGCATTCTTGAAAAATTCATAATTTCGACTTGACCCCTTTTTACGAGCTATCTCAAATTATTAAATTGCCTTTATAATTTCACATCCGTTGTAATTCCTGCCGAAAAATTGTTCTTAACAAATTTTTTAAAATTGTTATGACTACTCATTTGTAACATAATTGCTACATATTTGAAAAAAGTTGTAGATATCTGAAATAAAAATAAAAACGTTTCAATTTGTTGAATATGATTAGTATACTATGAAGTATAATTTGCGAGAATGGATAAGATAATCGAATTAATAAATTTAATCTATAAAAAAAAATATTAATCAATATGTTTTTTTTTCTGGAAACTTAAGATAATCAATAAATTAAATTTAAATAAAAATTTCAAAGTGATATTTTTATGATTTTATACTACATCGGTCTATTGTTTTGAAATTTTTTAGCATTACAGAAATAATTAAAATATTCCTATATTTTAATTTTTTTAATATCTTGAACTTTTTATTTTTACATACTGATAGTATAAGTCTCATGTCGTAGTTGAACACTCCAAAAGCAGACATTTCATATGTATTGAAAGAACTTACTTGTTTTAAAAAACATTTAACCTGTAAAAAATGTGAACAAATGTAATCATTATTAATATTAATTTAAACATCTTATTTACAACGCATTTAATAAGCAAGTTTAAATATAACTACTACTTTTATACAAACAACCGCGCTTTTGAACATACTGCATTTGTAAATTTAGAGGCTAAATTTTAATTGTTGATATCAATTTTAAGGTATAAAATAATAAATATAACAGACAAGTTAAGAAAATATTTCAATTTTTTGAGATACGTGTACGGAAAATAATTTATGACTTTAGACTAAGGTAGAGGTTCTACAAGTAATGATCCCTTCAAATTTAAAATAAAATAACTAATGCTTGTTAAATGACATCTAGTGATAGCAAATTATCAATATATTACATGAGTTTCATTTCCAAAAGTAATAATACATTTTTACCTGTATAATCAAGTCATCGGGTAAATCTACTATTTGACATGAGCGTAAGTAAAATATAATTTTCAGTTTCTAAAAATTTAATAAAAATATCAATCAAATTAATAACAAAAAACTAATAGTATAATTTTATAATCACTCTGTACATTATACAGATTCAAAAGCTTTCATACGATTTAACATAACTAAGTAATTGCTAGATTATGGTTATTATTTATTAATTATGGTTATAGACCAAAATTTTCCGTATTTATCCAGAAAGTAAAATTTTTCAAGTTTATATCTGTTACTAATGTTTAAATATTGATTATAATAATTAATATACAAAATTTTATTTTTGAGAAATTATGATCTCGAATCAAAAAGATTTTTATATTCTTTGCTTTAGTCAATGCAAATTTATTATAAATATTGGACTTGATTCTCGTATAACTAATGGTACTGAAACCACAATCGTTTAAAGCAAAATTTCTTTGAAAATAAAGCTAAACGTTGACTTGACTTGACCATTTGAAACAAAATACGCAAAAGCTATCTATTGTGTGATTGTCATATCATAATCACATACTGATTTTTGATTATAAATCATTTTAATTAGCTTTTAGATGCATTTAATTAATAATTTAAGAAAAATGACTATATTATCTTTCTAGTCTAATCTTTATCTGACACGAATAAATGATCTGAAGTTACTTTTGAATCAATCTGTACATCAATTTAATCTAAGCAAACCATCTTTACCTGGTTTGAAGTCCAAGTTGTAAGTGCCAGTATAGCAATAATGAAGAATATATTCTGCATAATTATAACAATAGCAGGTACTACCGATAAATCTGGATTATTGATAAATATAATTATAAACATGAGAATAATCAAATCATTTAGGATAAAAAAAAAGTAAACTAGAATAATTGGTCCGTAAGCGTAGCTCAGTAATCTCAAAATGTCACAGAGTTCTGCGTGTAGTAACCGACAGCATTCGATTACCATAATCTTTTCTTCTGTACTCCAAAGTCCAGGTGTTTCTAATAACTTTTTAGGAAATTTCTCCCAATACGCATTTAAAGCGTAAAACCTGCATCCTATGTGTGCCAAAAAGAAACATACATTGGCTATCACAACATAGTCCATAAAATATGGTAAGTAAAACATTGTTGGAAATACAGTGATAATTATATTATTATAAAATACCCAGAAAACAAAACATATCAGATAGATTTTTAAGAATAAAAAGTCTACTACACATAAGACTGTAATTATTAAGTATAATCTGTATCCTGGAGTCCAAAATTTAGACGAAAATAATAGTCTTGAGTAAAGTTTGTCAAAATATAATATTCTGTTTACTAGTCTACAATAAAAATAAAAAATATATAATTTTATTTATTTAATTATATAGAATAGTATAATTTTACTTTATTATCCAATCATTTACGAGTCTTGCAACTAAAAAAACAGTCCAATAATGAACCAGCGAGTAATGTAATGTTATATGATCACACATTTTACACCAGCACAAAAGAGTCAAACATATTAAAAATACAACATATAATATTTCACAGGAAACATTTTTAATGGTGGAATGTTTTACAAATTGATTTCCCACGAAATAGTTAGAAAATCGGAACAATCCTGATAATTTATTGATAAAAATGAGCTTTTTCAATATCTTGACAAAATTATTTGAAGTTACTTCTTTACTATCATCTAACGAAATAAATTTATGCAATGACATATTTTATGTTATCAGTGACTTGATGTAAATGAAAGGGAAATATCGTAACTTATATCCGATGTGCTAGTCATTGAGGTATTACCTACGAGACACTACATAATTCTTGATTCCGCCTTTGAATATTTTATTTATTGAAGTGTCAACAAAAACTAATTGATTTACACAAATGTCTTATTGTAAATATTTGAAAGGAAAAGTATGAAATTATGAAAGTTTTTCAATGAAATTAACTTTTTTCATTAAATTGCAAAAAAATAAATAAATAATATCCATAATATCCTAAACTTCTAAACATTTTTAAAAATGTATTAATTATATGCAATTTTGATGGTAAAATAAAAATATTCTATTTAAAATTTTGAATAATAAAAGTTAAAACTTCATAATATAATAGTTACCGATAGCTATAATTTTATTTGTCATCAAGTCAGGTGGACCCTATTTGTTTTAATATTCTTATTACGATTCAAAATTATTAATCCGATTGTTTGAGTTAATGGTATTCACAGTAAGCGGCATATTGAAACAATTGGTGTAAGTGAAAATTTTACATCATATTTTTACATCAAATCTGTGGATATTTTCTAAAATAAATATATTAATTTTAGAAATTTATCATAAGAGCAAAAATAAGTTTAATGTTTCAATTACATCTTATACAAATCCATATTTTTGACATATAAAAAAACAACCTTTCCATAATGATTTAATAGTATTTATTTTTTTTTATATACAAAGAAAACATTTTTTGTTATAAAAATTTAAAAACACCGTTTTTGTGACTTATTGGATTTTGCTTTAAGCCACAATTGTCTNAAATCCATATTTTTGACATATAAAAAAACAACCTTTCCATAATGATTTAATAGTATTTATTTTTTTTTATATACAAAGAAAACATTTTTTGTTATAAAAATTTAAAAACACCGTTTTTGTGACTTATTGGATTTTGCTTTAAGCCACAATTGTCTTTATATTCCAGCAGTCCTTAAAATTTCTATTATTATTTTTATATTATTTTATTTTTATTATATATAATAAAAGCAGTATTTATAATGACTGTACACATAGGTGACTCATCAATGAAAGTGCGTATGTTCGATTGTGTGTCTCCAAAAATGCAACTCGTTTGATAATAAAAGAATTTATTCATTCATTGTATAAAATTATAAATCTGCTGGTGTAATATCATTGCGAATTCGGCGAATCTAGTAAAACGGGTTATGTGTGGCCAGCGGTCATCTCATTGCTAATATTACAATAGATCCTATAGTGGAGTTGACAATAATACCAACCAAAAGGATTCTTTTACACACTAGAAACATTTTCAATTATGAGCATATAGTATTTCCTTTTCTTTCTCTTTCTATTAGGTTCAACACTGGCCACTGTTACTCAACAAAATTATGGACATCTGCACGAAACCCTTTGCCAAAACGATGGTCAAATGTTGAAACTGGTAATCTATTGTGCAGGTCACCATCTGCAAATGTTTAAGCAACATAATAAATTCTAATACTTTTAAATGAATAGATCTCTTAATAATAATCAGGTTATCGTTTATTGCCAAGCATAGCAATGATCAAATTATGGAAATTTTGGTATAACGCTACAGTATTTTAAATTAAAACGTGCAATAATTTTGCTTGAAGCTGTAAATTTACTATATTTAATTAAAAATACTAGTTGATGTATAACTTTAAATATTTATATGGAAAATTATAAATTTCTTTAAAACTATATAATATTTTTAGCTTCGATGCGAAGCTGAGAAGGTATTAATTTTATTATGTGTTTTTTTTTTTTTTTTGAGTCTGTTACCACTTTTTCTCAGCTCTCACTGAATCGATTTCTTTCAACGTTACGTTAAAAGATCACAAATCGTATCTAGTCCAAGACATTACACTCAAAAATTAAAAAAAAATCCCTCGTTTATAAAAATAATAATAATGTTATGTTCAATTTAATACAATAAACTGAAAATCACTAAAATCACTGACGACAACATCCCGTGATGTTAATTATAAATAATATAAAAAAGCGTAATTCAGCTAAAAATTTAAAAACTTTAGTAATCCCATAATTTGAATGAAATTTAAAACATCAAATACTTTTTATTCTTGATGTTATTCTATAGCTATTACAATAAAAAAAAATATTTATTTATTGACCCTTATGTTAGAAACTTACGTTATAAAACAACAATATTATATTTCGCACAAAAAAGGTATAAATGCAGTTTAAAACAAACATATGTGTTAATTATAATTATTTTTTGAAAAATCATTGTTTGGTTAATATATTTACAATTTTTCAATAACAAGTCAAGTTTTACTATACATTTTAGCTTCGATGCGAAGCGGAGAAGGTATTAATTTTACTATGATGTGTTTTTTTTTTTTNCGTTATAAAACAACAATATTATATTTCGCACAAAAAAGGTATAAATGCAGTTTAAAACAAACATATGTGTTAATTAAAATTATTTTTTGAAAAATCATTGTTTGGTTAATATATTTAAAATTTTTCAATAAGAAGTCAAGTTTTACTATACATTTTAGCTTCGATGCGAAGCGGAGAAGGTATTAATTTTACTATGATGTGTTTTTTTTTTTTTGTGCGAAATATAATATTGTTGTTTTATAACATAAGTTTCTAACATAAGGGTCAATAAATAAATATTTTTTTTTATTGTAATAGCTATAGAATAANCAAAAATCAACAAATCTACATAATTTTTTTTTATACTAAAACCTTAGATATTTTCCTTTCATTTGATATCATTTTTTTGAAAATCTATCACTTAACCTGCTCATTGGGGGGGATTTAAAATNCCTTAAAAATTGAAAAAAATTCCCTCGTTCCCCGCAAATGGGGGAAATATCCAAAAAAATTACAAATTTAAAAATCGCTAATTTTCGAAATTTTTTCACTTTTTTTTCTTAAAACTTCCAATAACTTTTTCAAAAATCAACAAATCTACATAATTTTTTTTATACTAAAACCTTAGATATTTCCCTTTCATTTGATATCATTTTTTTGAAAATCTATCACTTAACCTGCTCATTGGGGGGGATTTAAAATGGCAACTTTTTTACAAAAATTAATTTTTTCAACTTAATTTTTGAAAATGTTCCGGAAATACTGCGTCCTTTAAACATATATCAAATTAAAGCTTATTTTATGTACTACAAAATGAAAAAAAAAAATTTGTCCCGACACTTTTTTTTCTACATTTAAACGGCTGCCGTAGTTAAAAAAACACTATTTTTGTGTTAAAATTTTCGATTTTCGATTTTAAATTTTCAACTTAAAAATGCTATAACTTTTTGAAAAATGTATATATCAGCACAAATTTTTTTTTTCTAAATACATTATAAGTACATCTTTCATTTGACATACTTTTTATTAAAATTGGACAATTTCCCCTTATATAGGGGGCGTTCAAAACTTAAAATATTGTAAAAAACATAGATCTTTTTCAACTGAACTTTTGAAAATGTTCCGGAAATACTGCGTCCTTTAAACATATATCAAATCAAAGGTTATGTTATATACTATCAAATGAAAAAAAAAAATTTGTCCCGACATCTTATCTTCTATGTGCAAATGGCTGTCGAAAATTTAAAAAAAAATGTAATGTTTGCGATAAAAATTACCTTTTATCGGGATGTTTTTTGTACTTAAAACTGCCATAACTTTTTCAAAAATGAACAAATAAAAGTAATATTTTTTTATACTAAAACCTTAGATATTTCCCTTTCATTTCATATCATTTTTTTTAAAAATCTAACACTTATTCTGCTCATTGGGGGGATTTAAAATAGCTACTTTTTTACAAAAAATAACTTTTTCAACTTAATTTTTGAAAATGTTCCGGAAATACTGCGTCCTTTAAACATATATAAAATTAAAGCTTATTTTATGTACTACAAAATGAAAAAAAAAAATTTGTCCCGACACTTTTTTTTCTACATTTAAACGGCTGCCGTAGTTAAAAAAACACTATTTTTGTGTTAAAATTTTCGATTTTCGATTTTAAATTTTCAACTTAAAAATGCTATAACTTTTTGAAAAATGTATATATCAGCACAAATTTTTTTTTTCTAAATACATTATAAGTACATCTTTCATTTGACATACTTTTTATTAAAATTGGACAATTTCCCCTTATATAGGGGGCGTTCAAAACTTAAAATATTGTAAAAAACATAGATCTTTTTCAACTGAACTTTTGAAAATGTTCCGGAAATACTGCGTCCTTTAAACATATATCAAATCAAAGGTTATGTTATATACTATCAAATGAAAAAAAAAAATTTGTCCCGACATCTTATCTTCTATGTGCAAATGGCTGTCGAAAATTTAAAAAAAAATGTAATGTTTGCGATAAAAATTACATTTTATCGGGATGTTTTTTGTACTTAAAACTGCCATAACTTTTTCAAAAATGAACAAATAAAAATAATATTTTTTTGTATTGAAACCTTAGATATTTCCCTTTCATTTGATATAATTTTTTTTGAAAATCTAACACTTATTCTGCTCACTGGGGGGATTTAAAATAGCAACTTTTTTACAAAAAATAACTTTTTCAACTTAATTTTTGAAAATGTTCCGGAAATACTGCGTCCTTTAAACATATATAAAATTGAAGCTTATTTTTTGTACTACAAAATGAAAAAAAAAATTGTCCCTACGACCTATCTTCTATACGCAAATGGCTGTCGTATTCAAAAATATGCTATTTTTGTATTAAAATTATTGGTTTTGTATTTTAT